CCCCCCTCTACATTTATCGTCACTTCTTGACGTGAGATCACGTCAGATACACACCACCTCCCCTGCACAGAACCAATTGATATAAAAAAGCAGACGCGCCCTCTAGAGATACCATTGTTAAACAACCAGAGTATCACTGCGACTGACTTGCAACTTTGTTTGTCTCACAGCCTTTTGGGATCATCAACCAACGTCGCAAGAATTAGCAGAGTAGGTGTAAATCTGAGATTGTCTATGATTCACCTTTCGGAAATCGAAAGTTTTGACAAGCCGTTAGTCCATTCTGATCTTGACGCCCGGGGGTCCGGGGTTCCGGGGGTACGGGGCTCTGGCGGTCCAATCCTTTCCGGCCTGGTGAGATGGGGGGGTTTTCTTGTTGACCTGACACTGATGAAACTTCAGGCGCACACAAACGAACACAAAGGGAGAACAACCGAGCCCGGGGCCTGATTGCCGTATCGTGGTGTGGTATCCACGCTAGATGTCTCCGCTCCAACCCTGATTGACAGCAGTGGTCATTTTCTTCCCAGCCACGTGGTCATTTAGTCCAGGGGCCGGGGAGAGTGGTCAGTCACGCCCACCTACTTAAATGTCGGGGCCCGGGTGAGGAATAAGTGTCCAGGGAGCAGGCAACACTTGGAACGCTCTAGTGGTGGTTCTGCGGAGTGGTGGTTCTGTGGTCTGTCCTTCACAAGAAGCCACATCTTTTTGTTAATAGAAGATGGGATTTTGAAAAATTGTTTTGAAAGGACAATTTATGTTTGTTTGTTTGTTTGTTTTGTCGGTTGCTGTTTTCTTTTTTTTTTTCAAAACTGACTTCTGTTTTAGAATCATAAGCTAGTTGTTAAAATAAAGGCTACTAAGCTCAACATTTTTAGTTCTATTTTTAAAATTATTATTATTTCACTTGCAATCTGTGGTATCGGTTGCATGTTTTTCAGAAATATTTCGTTGAAATCAAGATTCTAAATGTTGATAAAGCAAAGCAATAGAAGTACACAGGGTAGTAGGTACTATTATTAAAAGAATGAAACTGTTGAGGTTTTTATTTCTACTGTAAAATGTAGCTTTCTTAAGACATGTTAACAGCTTGTCCGCGATGTGTGTAAGGTCTGGAAAGCAACATTATCTCGTTAATAGACTACATAATATTGAAACATTTTTCTAAAGTTACTTATTTCTGTACAGACGAATTTCCTCACTAAATACAGTATTTACAATAGACTTTCTAGCCTTTTGTGATATCTACAAGTTGATTTTATGTCAGGTGGTTGCTTCATGGAGTATGTGTGTGCGTGTGTGTGTGTGTGT